AGAGAATAAGCATATATTCGTTCTCATTTGTTTTGCATGTATTGTGCATGAAAATGATCAATAATGAACAAAAACAGAACGCGCTAATCGTCTGTTTTATGTCTGCTTAACATTGTTTTATGCAATTTAATGTAAACTTAAAAGAAATGCAATAAAACTTAAAAATTTGTAAATTTGTATGAGAAGGCGGCACTCATATAAATACACATTTAATTCAAAATTTGTATGTAATATAATAAATCCTCCACACTCCCACACGATAGGGAGCGCGAATGCTTGTTCTTTGAACCTTGTCTATCGACATACTTATGAGAACAACTAGTGAGGCATTGCGAAAACGAAAGCTTTGGGTTAAGTTCGAATATTCCAACATCTCATAAGGATCGTCTTGAATTATGGTCTTACTACTGGAATTTTTAAATGTCTTTGTACAAATAGGAAAGGTCATTCAAGCTGTCGAATGAGCAAAGAAAACCTCAAACATTCCTTTCTTTACCTACTTACGAAAAAATACGAACCTTGCTGAGTCTGTTATTAGAAACTAAATTCGTTTTATTCTGTTTATAACCAAATGCATAGGTGCGTAGACGATGCACATGGGCCAAAGAATATGAAGTTATATGTAAATATAAGTAGCAAAGACATAAACCCTTTTTTCTTTTTTTTTTTTTTTGCAGAGCTCTGTCTATCAGAATTCTGTTAAATGAAGTCTCGAAGGGATCTAACTCAAAATATAGTTAACTTTTCGAGAATTTTTTTTATAAAATATTATTATCAAAATATGACTTTAGGTAAATTAATTAATATTCGAAAGGAGAACATTTTTACACTATGTCACAAATGAAGTTGATGAAGCGAAAGGTTGCGTAACTACTGTGACCAAATCATGCCCTGTGGAAAAATGAAACTAGTACGGCATGAATCCTCTATTAATAGCCTTTCCAACGATATCGAGGTTATGTTCAGTTTTGTTCAGAGAATTTTTTCGTACTTAACGTATTATAGGCTAACATACAAGCAAACTATGGAAAGTCATTATGGGCAAACCATGTCCTGTGAAAAAATGAAACTAGGCAATGCATAAGCTAGGATAGGCCATGCATAAGCGACATGTAGGCCAAGCATAGGCAATGCATAGGGAGCTCATAGGCGGTATATAGACGAAGCACATGCGGTCTTGCGCATGGGCCATGCATAGGCAATGTATAAACCTTTCATAGGCCATAGATAGATAGATAGATAGATAGGCCATGCATAGACGGTATGTAGATCATGCTTAAGCGGTGCATAGGCTGACTATTGAATTCGGACTGAATTTTGATTTAAATTTCAAAGAAAAATTTTGACATTCTTTTGCTCGTTCGAGAGGTATTTCCATATGGAATCGCGTGATGTCGATAAATACAAGGGGCGATAGAGACCCAAATTTAAGTGTTTTTCCATAGCCCTTTTGTAAAAATAGTTCTGTGTTCACAAAAAATATTTTACGCTTCTTAATGCAAACGGAGTAGACTTCCGCATTAAACTACATTTTTGTTCTCAATACTTAACAGAGCTCTGTTGAAAGCAATGGTAGGTTTCTTGGTTAGTTCAATTCGAATTTATCTTCACACCCTTACTTTATGGTATATCCCCACGCTTTCATACTGTTGTTGGAAAAGTGGAAATGCGCATATCAGAAACGTTAAGATACCGAGTGCATACTTCATTATAAATCATTCTCATTAATTTAACTAAATCAATAATGAAAGAGTGCTGAACTACTCCCTTTGTGCTGCCATGTATGGAAACTTTTATTGTTTGCATGT